TCTGATTTGTTTACTTAATTCCCAAAATAAGAATTTCCTAAAATACAAGAAAAAAGAAAGGAAAAGTTAAATTTCTACCCAAAAATCACCTCATTAAAAAAAAAAATTTATTTAGAATATTCTGAAAGTTTATTAGTTTTATATTATAAATTGAACTAAAATTTAGATATTATTTTTTATTTATCATAAATGCTACAAATGGATAATTTTGCATCATCTGGTTGAAAGAAATGATAATTTAATTATTTCTTAAAAATGATATCAAAATTGTTTAAAAGGAATAATAATTTAATCATTCTTTAAAAATGATGACAAAATCATTTGAAAGAAACAATAATTAACAATAATTTGATTATTCCTAAAAATGATATAGAAATCATTTGAAAGAAATGATAATTTGATTGTTCCTTATAAACGATGATAAAATTGTCAAAAGAAATGATAATTTAATCATTTCTTACAAATGATGACAAAATTGTTCAAAAGGAATGATAGTTTAATTGTTCCTTAAGAATGATATTAAAATCATTCAAAAGAAACAATAGTTTAATCATTTCTTAAGAATAATGACAAAATCATTTGAAAGGAACAATAATTTGATCATTCCTAAAAATGATATAGAAATCATTTGAAAGAAATGATAATTTGATTGTTTCTTATGAACGATAATAAAATTATCAAAAGGAATGATAATTTAATCATTTCTTACAAATGATGACAAAATTGTTTAAAAGGAATGATAGTTTAATTATTCTTTAAGAATGATATTAAATCATTTAAAAGAAACAATAATTTAATCAATAATGACAAAATTGTTTTTTCAGAATGATAATTTAATCATTCCTTAAAATGATAATATATTATTTTAAAAGAATAATAAAAAAATCATTCTAAAAGAATGATAAAAATATCATTCTAAAGAAATGATGATGTATTATTCCAAAAGAACTATAAAAAATATTATTCTTAAGAAATGATGATAAATCATTCATTAAGAATGATAAAAAATTATATTCTTTCAAAATGATAATGTATTATTTTAAAAGAATGATAAAAAAATATTGTTCTTTCAGAATAATGATACATTGTTTCTTTGAGAATGATTTCTATTGTCTCTTTGGAAATAATAGTTTATTTCTTTAGAGATGATTGTATCATTCCTTTAGGGATAAATATATTGTTCCTTTTAAATGATTGTATTATTCCTTTTGAAATGATTTCTATCGTTTCTTTTAGAATGATTGTATCATTCCTTTGGGAACGAATGTATCGTTCCTTTATTACAAAATATTAATTGGGAGCTTTGCAGTAGAAGGGAGGAAACTCTAAAAAAATTAAAATTTTATTTTTTCAACTAATTATAATTTTTTTAGTATAATAAGTTCAGATTTAACATTAACTTAAAAAAAATTTTTTTAGAGTTTCCTTCCTTTTTACTACAAAGCTTCCAATTAATTTATTTTATAATGCAATAATTAATTAACTATAAACAAATTTATTTTGTAAATAACATTTAATTTAATTATAAACTAACTTCAATATAATATTAAAAAAAAATTTTTTTTTAGGTTTTAATGTAATTTACTATATAAATTTGTATTAATTTAAATAAATTTATAAATTTACTATAATAAATGTAAATGTTTAGAAAAATACCTCAAAAAGCTTTATTAAAATAATTAGTTAAGTAATTTATTATCATCAGAAACAATTTATATTTTTTAATTAGTGATTTTTTTAAAATGAATTAAATCATAAATTTTTGATAGTCTAAATAAATAATATTGTTTTAGGAATGATCAGCAGGATGATCGTCCGAATTTCATTATATCTATGTCCGACTAATTATTATTGCTATTCTCTATATATTTTAAAATTTTAAAATGACTACCTTTGATGATTTATCTAGCAAAATCGAACAAGTAGTATTTAAATGTTTGTCTTGTCCTCAAGAGGATATGGAAGATAATATTCGAAAATTACTGACACCTCTTGTTAATAATAAAGAGACTCTTGAGCTACGGAAATTAACTCTAGAGCATGTAATAAAAAAAATAGCAATGAGATATTCGGTATGTAATTGTTACGATATATGTTGAATACATTTAAATTAATTATTCTAATTAATAATCATATAATTCGTAGACACTTCAACCTAATGAGTTAATACCGAATGCTTTTAAACTTTTAGATTTAGTATTGAGATGTCACGAAGTTGATAAAGGTGTCGTTTTTTTTTTTTTGATTGATTTTCAATGTTGTTTTCTTTAAAAAAAACAAGTGGTTTAAATTAATTTTTGATGTAGAATTATGTGAACCTACTTTAACTCTTACGATTTTGGAAGAGCTTTTAGAAACGCAACCAATGGAAGTTTGCGAAACATTGTACCAATTCTTAGAGACTAATAAGCAGAGGTTATTAGTGGTAATTTAATTCTATATATATTCCGGAATAATTATTATTTATAATACATAAAAGTTCATACAAAATAAGATAATTATTTTATTTGGTTGTTATAGGATCTAAAACCGACACAGGGCAAAGGATTGGTACTGTTAAGATTATCCAATGAACTTATTCGCCGAGCGTCAAAATCTAATCACAACGCGTTCCGTGGAAGAGTATTAATATTTTTATCAAATTCTTATGCCCTTGGCGAACGTTCTGGTAACTGTGATTTTTTTTAAATTTTTATAGCGAGAATTTATATCATCATATAAATTCTCTTTCTCTTTGATAATTAGGTGTAAATGTTCGTGGAGAGTGTAATATTGAAAATGTAACGAGTTATAATGCGTTACAAGAAGGTTAGCGATGCTTTTATGTTGAATTCAAATCAAAATAATAACATGATAATAACAGTTGAGGAAATCTAGGCGAAAAGGCCGAATTTTATAATAATTTTTGGAATCTTCAGACTTATTTCAATAATCCACCAAAAATTTTTGATGGTAATAATTTAAATATAGTTCTTGAAGTAAGAAAACTTTTTTTTTTTACATACGAATTACTATTTTCAATAATACTTACACATATTTTGTTATTTAAATGATAAGAAAATGGAAATAGTTATAATTCAATTTAATGAAATTTTGTCCAATGAAAAGAAAAAGGCTGTAGTAGAAAATCAAGGGAATGCTATGGAAGTTGACGGGGAAAGTGATATCTCAAATTCAAAAAATGAAAATAGTTATAATGCTTCAACCAAAAGAAAACATCATGAAACCGAGGATTGTTTAGAGGAAACAATAAGTTTAGCAAAGGATTACGTTAAATATTTTCCCAAATATTTGACGAGTTACGCATTATTTGACAAGGAGGTTTGTGATATGAATTAATAAAGTATATATACATGCATATAATAATTCAAGTGTATTTGATTATCGATTATAAATAGATATCAGATCCAAACTTCCGTCGCATAGTTCTATTCCAATTCCTTATAATATTACAGTATTTTACAGGATTTTATCCTGAAGAGCGCGCTCGTATTGAAGAAACGAGAGCGACATATAATACTGCTAATGCTGTACAACTTCCTAATTTCACAATAACTGAACAACAGGTAAATTCATGTTAGATTTTAATTATTCTAAATATATAAACATTTTGAATCAATTATATAAATTTTATAGCAAAAGGTAATACAAGAAGCTTGGAATAAGATAATCGAGCAGCTCAATGAGAGCACTCCAGAGGGAAGTAAATTCACAACAACATTACTCCATATACTTAATATGGAAAGAAGATGGAATCATTGGAAATTTGGTCAAAATTGCGAAAGTGTAGCAAAAAAATTTGTTGAAAAGGTATCTGATGATGAAAGAAAATCAACACCTGTTTCTAAGTTCGGTTTAGCACGAGAAAAGAGAATGAAATTATGTAAAAATTTGGAACCTATGAAATGGAAGATGGGAACTCCTCATCTAACCAAGCTATGGACAAATACAATGAAAGTTTGTGATGAAAAAATATTGTCAGATTCAACCAGAAAGAGGGCTGCACCTACTTTTCAAGATGTTTACCAGAGAATCAAAGATGATGGTTACCCAGTAAGTTATTATTTTAAACATAACCTTTTTCTGATTAATTAAGTTTGCTAATATACCTTTTTTATATTGTAGCCGGAAATTGGTCTGACATTTGATGAAAACGACTATGAGTTCGATAAAGAAGAAAAAGAAAAAGGCTGGGTAACTAGTTATTAATTTATCAAATTTGTCCAGGTGTGTTAAAAAAAATTGATTAATATATCTTTATGTATTATGTAGGTACAAAAATGGTTCGCACTACGAGCCGCTAGAAATAATTACTTATTACACTTCAATAAACCAGCTAAGAAAGATGCAAAAGAGTTGAAAGACCCAAAAGTTGCTAGTGCGTTAAAAGAAGCAGAAGAAAGTAAAGATGAAATTGCTGTTTTGAATATTTTAATATCTGAAAATCCTACATGTAGTAGTGGCACCAGTAGTAAAAAACAACCACCAGCTGAAACTGAGAATACCGAACAAAAAAATGGAGATCACAAAAATGGTGTTGATCAGAAGAACAGTGAACATAAAAATGGAGATCACAGAAACGGAGATCATCCTCTTATAGATCAAAAAAACGGAGAACAGAATAGAGTTGAACTGAAGAATGTAGAACAAAATAATATTGATATGAAAGAATGATGATGAGCAAATAAACTTTTTTGGATTTATAATTTTATTTATGGTTCACTACTAAAATATTTTTATTACCTCATTAGGATTAGATTTAAATTATAAAAGGCAAATTTTTTTATATTAATATTATTAATTGTAATGTTAGAGATCTATTTTTAGGGAACCTAATAAAGCTAGTAAACTGCATAATGATGTAATACAAATGCAATGTTAATTTGTCATGTCATTTATTTTATACCAAGTCTCGAGATATTTTTTTTTAAAAATTATCTCCCTATTTCACCCAATTTTTTATCGTTTAATCAAATCAATTTTTTTTTGTTTTATTAATCATGTCTCAAAATTTACGCAAGAAAGCTGCTGCTCGTGCTTCTCGACGTGCTAGTAGCAACTCTGGTCCTCCATTGGCATCCATTCTTGCTGCTAATGGAACTCCTTTAAGTAGTCGTCAGAATACTGACGAAGAAGACGCTTGGAGTGAAACATCCGCTGATACTCTTGATTCTTGGGCATCAGCCGGAAGTAGAGCTGAAGACAAAGTTCTAGAAGAAGTTGATAATTGGGAGGACGAGGTATTGCAAAGCATTGATAACTTGGAAGAGAAACGTACAAGGTAGAAATAAGTTCGTTGCCATGAATAATTAATGAGGCATTCTAATGTTTTGTTATTTTGCATTAGTACTCGGGAAAACGCCTTGACCATTTTGATTCGTCTCCTCTCTCACAAATATGCTGCGGATATCCTTTATTCGCGAAGAGATACTCTACTTGACATGTTGAATCGGTCCATTAAAAAAAATAAAAGCCATAAAGAAAGTAGATTGGCTGCCAAAGGTATGTTCTTAAATTTAATTATGATCTTATTTACTATGGTAAAATTTAAAAATAATAAAATCTCATTTTTTTTATTAGTATTGTCATTATTATTTATTACTTTAGGCGAGGATCAAGAAACCATGTATCATGATGTTCTGTCCCTTTTGAAATATACTATAATCAACACCTCTTCTATGGAAGTTAGAAGTATGGTAAGTAAGAACGGAAGTAATATTATTTATTTATTTCTGAAATTCAAATAAATTTCCTAATATTACTTTTAATATTTTCAGTGCATAAAGACCTTAGCTTTGGCCTGTTTCATTGCTGGATCACAAGCTGAAGTTTTTGAACTTTTAAATTTTTTTGCCGAAATAATAATTACTAATGGTAAAAGCGTTAATGCTACCAATGACGGAGCTACTTTAACAAGTGCCTTAAATGCATATGGTTTATTATATGCTAGGCTATGGGGAGATTCAAAGAAAGTAGCTGGTATGGCTAGAGAGGAATTTGAACGAGTAATTCCAGCCCACACAAAACAACTCGAGTCCTCTATCATGGAAGTGAGAGTTGCTAGTGGTGTAAACATTGCATTGATGTTTGAAACTTTGGGGATTGGTAAAAGAATAGATCCATCTGAAGAATGGGTCCAGGATCAGGAAGCTGAGGTTAAAATTTTTATTTAAAACTCTTAATACATTAAGAATTCTAATATTTACTCGACATGCATTATTTTTTCTATTAGTCAGATGAAGGTTATTTTGATTATAATGATATGGATAGGCTGACTCAGTTATTGAGTACATTAGCTACAGATAGCAATCGTCATCGCGGAAAAGTTGAACGTAAAGTGCAAAGATCTGCCTTTCGCGACATTTTAAAGACAGTTGAGGTTGGTAAATTTTTTATTTTATTAATTTTGAAAAAAACTAAATTAATAATATGGTTCAAATGATTGACCATTTTAATTATAGGAGGGTGATCGAGTTCAGGAGAAGCTCAAATTCAAAAAACAAACTATTTATTTTACTACATGGGCTAAAATAGTTGAACTTAATGCCTTTCGTGAAGTTCTTGCAGAAGGTTTGCATGTTCATTTTCTTGAAAATGAACTTTTGCAAGAACTCTTCAATTTTGTTCCTCCACGAACTTTGGCAGTAAACCAAGGATCAAGACCAACTTCGGCCATGAGTTTTCACACTGCTGGATCTGATACTGATACTTCAATTGCAAGCAAGAAAGCAAAGAGTAAAAAAATAAAGAATAGAAAGCAGAGTAAGATGAGAGGAGGGTTTCTAGAAATCGGTTAAACATATATAGCTTTTTTATTCAGATGGAATTAAATAAAAAATTTAATGTTCCTTGAAATAAACAGCTATCTCAAGAGAACGTACCGTTCATCATCGATGATCATATTTCGTCGAAAGCGGGTAGAAATATGATTGATCGGAATTGCTATAATGCCACGTTCTTATTATGCTGTTATTAGCATATCACTTTTTGGCTATCAATCAAACATTTATTCAATTGTTTGCTTTTTATATTATATTCGAATTTATTACAAGGTTTTTTTGGTAGTTTTCGTTGGTGGAAGTTATTTTTAAACTTATCTCATGTTATTACGTTAATAAAAAATTATATTTTGTAATTTTTTCCGATTTTTTGCAACACTTCACATCTTCCCCATTGTCAAGAATTTCGAGGAAACATTTATCACGAGATGTGTCGAAACATCAATAGAAACTCGCTCCTGCTTGATTTTCCTGATATCACAATTTAATTCTGCAATGAGTCAGCTTTTTCTTTATCACTCTGCTCTAGTTTTGCGAGTCTTGTCTCTAAAGATGGATACCATAATTAAAAAGTTGCAACTCGGTAAGTTGCAACTTGAGTTGCAACTTGTTTGCAACTCCTTGTAAATTTATTTTAATATAAAAATTCATAAAATGTTGCAACTCAAAGTGTTGCAACTTAAGTTGCAACTAGTTAAAAATTTTAAAAATAATTATGGGAACCATCTTTACTCGTCTCGTTCTCTTCCATAGCTTGCCTTTATTTAGCATTTTCGACTTTAACTCCAGCCAGATTGCATATTTTGTAATAACTTTCATATAGGACACGATTTTTTTAAAATGCATATTACCCAAATAGAAATCTCCATATTCAGTTTGGAGTTAACAATTTTACAGCTTCAAATGGATGGATTAACATATTTAAGCAACGTCAAAATTTAAAAGAATATGTTGAGTGGGGTGAAGTAAAAAGTGCCCAACTGGAAACATTAGATGAAGAAAGAAATTAATAAATTACATTTACGTGAAATGGCAAATCTTCTCACGGTGTACTACGCTTTATTCGATATATTTATAATTTATCATATATTTAAGGGTCTGAATTTATTTATTATCTAATTGCTGTATTTTATCGGAAATAACTATTGTAAATCAAATTTGATTGGTTGATTCTGGGCTCCGCAGGAGCCCACCAAATTTGATTCCCAATATTATCTATTTTAGTAACGATATTTATTTGGCTCATAATTTAACTATTTTTAACCTTTTCTCGATAACATTCAATATTTTTATTTAATTTTAACTGAATGAAATTTTTTAATAATTAATTTTATAAAATTATCAATTGTTATTATGTTTAAGAATTAGCAGATTTCATGAAATTTCTTTAATTTACATTAATATGGACCTTTGCAATAGAAAGAGGGGAAACTGCCAGAAAAAATCAATTTTACTTTATTGCAAAGTTTAATAAAATAATATAAAATTGATGCTACTTAATATTTATATTAGAAAAAATTGCCTGATATGATATGGCATGAAAAGAAATAGCCAATTAACTGACTCTATAAAAGTTGAAAATCTACTTGTAGGAAATGACAAGTGGAAGATACTTGAATCACTTGGTATATTTTTTTTTACCAATTGCTCTTAGAAATGATTTAAAGTAATACAAGAATTTTCCACAATATTAATGACAGATAATACTATGGAAAATATGGGAGGATTGCTAGGAAAATGGGGTAATTTAATTCTTATTGCAATAAAATTTAATTTTACTTAGAATCCGCCTCTGACAGTTCAGATGCAGCTTTATTGGAAAATGTCACACCCAAAATGTTGGTGATTTTTTCTAATAAAAGTCACCTTTAACAATTTGGGTTCGCCTTTTATTAATAAAAGTCACTTCTGACAATTTTTATGTGACTTTTATTTGTTTTTTTCCCAATAAAAGATGTTACAAACTGAACTAAACTAAACTGAAAATTTTCAGATTAATCTGTTCTGTTCAGAACTTTAATTTAAATGAACAAACTTTATTAACAAAAAAACCAAACTTTTAAATATTTTGTCAAAATAAACTTTAGATAATAATGTAAACAATATTGTCAAAAATGTCTCTCTAAGAACTGATACTAATCTTATTACTTTTATAATAACTGATAATTTGGAAACTAAAGCTAACAAATATGATATGGAAATTAACCAAATTATTTACTTAATTCCTAAGAAATATTTTTATTATCCAATCAAACTACCAATGATTTTATGCATACTTTTTAAACTATTTTTAAAACCACCTATATTTATCACATTCTCTTTGAAAATAAGGTAAATAAATTAGTCTAAAGAAATAATGATTATAAATCACATAATCAAGTTTCTAAAAAAAATTCTTTTAATATAATTATTTCTTTTACATAATTGATAATCTTACTAATATAAAGAAAAAGTTTTGCAGAAAACACAAGTAGACATATTAATATATTCGCTTAATTCAGATTAATATGTAATAGATAAGGATGCTATCCTAAATTACTAAAAATTAATTTGAATTAAACAAAACTAGTTTTAGTAGTTTGGCTATTAACTAAACTAGATTTGACACTTAATTAAACTAGTTTCAGTTATTCTAAATTATGGAATTTTAGTTTTGGATAGTAATACTAGTAACAAGATATTATAGTCTATTTGGTTATATTTTAGTTAACTAAAGTATATTGTATCTTTGTAGACTATAATGTACTAATATAGATCAGTAAAAAAATTATATTAGATAATATAGTATATTTTGCCATAAAAATTTGACTGGCTTTATAACATAATTCTAGTTGAATTTATGACACGTAATTTGAAGATTCAACTTGATACCATATTAGCATTATAGTAGCATCATAGCAGTATCATAAAACTACTGAAGAACTGGCAAGAAGCCAGAGTAGAGTGGTTCTATTAATTTAGGAGAATCAAAAGTTACTTAGATTAACCTAAATATTTATCAAATCAGAAATTAATGCTAAACTAGGGATTGGAATCAATTCAACCAAAATTAAATTAATCAAAAATTGAATCGTATCTAATAGAATTGATTAATTGTATCTAAAAATCAAATCTTAATAAATTAAATTATTTTATATTTCAGCAGAGTAAAATAAATTAATATCAGAATTATCAGAATTGCTAAAAAAGATCAACATTGATGATCAACATATGATAATTAACCCTATAAATAATATGTATAAGGAAAGTATACAGAAATAATATGTTTAAAAAACATATAATAAATGTAGAAAAACAGTATAATAAATTCGTAAATATTTCTGTATACTAGATATTGAAATCGACTTTTTCTGTATGCAAAAAAATATTGAATTTATATATCTAATCAGTATAATGTATACATAATTTTTTGTTAAATTTTATACGTTAAATCAGTATATTGTATATGTTATTTTTGGTAAGATTTTATAGTATATTATAAATATTTCCATATATTAAATACTGAAAATCATCTTTTTCTATATGCAAAAATACTGAATTTATACGTCAAATCAGTATATTGTATACGTTATTTTTGATTAGTTAATTTTGTTTGGATTTTTACGCCTAACCAGTATATTGTATACATTATTTTTAGTTGAATTTTTTATGTCTAATCAGTATATTATATATGTTATTTTTGGTTGGATTTTTTACGTTTAATCAGTATAGTGGAATACCATCATGTGATATAATTATATCACATAGTGGTATTTCATTTATCCTAGATTATAATACCACTATATAATCTGAATATCACCATTTAATCTGAATATCATCATATAATCTGAATACTACAATATAATTGAATATCACTATATAATCTAAATATCACCATATAATCTGAATATCACCATATAATCTAAAAGATATAATCCAACTATTACTATATAATCTGAATAATATAATCTAATTACCACCATATAATCTATTTATGTTTCGTGTTAGATATCTATTTTATATTCTAGCTATTCCTTTAAACTTTTCATGATATTCATATTATTTACTACTATATAATCTAACTACTACCATATAATCTAAGTATCACTATTTTCTTCTTATTCCTATTTCGTCTATATGTTAAATTCTATATTGCTGGTATTGGCTTCTCATGCTTGTTTGGATGCCTGGTTTTTTATTGAGAATACTGGCCTTTTGCGTCTGAATGGATGATAAATTCATATTGAAGTACTTACCCTTTGTGCCTATTTGGTTGCCTTTTAAAATACTGAAATTATGTAAAAAAAAGAGGTGACAGGTGGCACAGTAAATTTGCGATTAATTTTACCCAGCTCTATGGTATAACTCTGACTGATCTTTTGCATATGTGATTTGAGAATCCAATTTGATGTTATGATAGCATTGTGATAGCGTTTTGGTGATGTCATAGAACTCTCCTAAAACTGTTATAGAACTAAAGGAAAGTTGGTGAGGTTCTATTAGTTTATTACCTTAGATGTTGAGTTATTGCGTCTAAAATTCTAGTAAAAAAAATACAGAATAGTGTCAGCCAAAATTTATCAGATCATCATAATTTATTGCAATTTGAGTATCTCAGTAGCTATCAGTTATCAAATGTAATACTATGTATCTTACTCATAAATTTAGATTAGTCTAATTTATATTATCATTCTCTATTGCCACTACTTAC